GATACATAGAGACAGAGAGGCAGACAGATAGAGAGGGAATAGACAGATGTTACATAAATATAGATAATAGATGGTGGATAGATAGAGAGACAGACCATTGATAGAGAGATAAATGATACATAGATATAGATTACAGATAGATAATTGATAGATTGACAGGTAGCAGATAGATAGATAGATAGATAGATCGATAGATAATACATAGAAATGTTCAGAAGGTTATAAACAAAACAGAAAGTGAGAAACTCAGAATTAAAGAAAAAGGAAGATCAAGTCAACAATCCAAGGAGGATCATAGAGAAGAAAACAATACGAAAAGGGAAAACACACCACGGGCTGGGGAAGTGAGGTCAGAGACCTAGAGAGACAGAGAAGGTGGAAGGAGGAAACAGACATGAAGAGAGATGGGGTGGAGGGTGAGAGAGAGCATTAGCATAGAGCAGGGGAGTGAGTTCTCAGCTCAGATGTGAGGGGAGCTGTGACAAGGAAGAACCTCCCTGAAGAAACTGCCTCTTCTCCTTCCAGGTAAATATGAGAAACCTTCTCTCTCAGCCCAGCCAGGCCCCACGGTTCAGGCAGGAGAGAACGTGACCTTGTCCTGCAGCTCCCGGCGCTCCTTTGACATGTACCATCTATCCAGGGAGGGGGAGGCCCGTGAACTTAGTCTCTCTGCAGTGCGAAGCGTCAACGGAACATTCCAGGGCGACTTCCCTCTGGGCCCTGCCACCCACGGAGGAACCTACAGATGCTTCGGTTCTTTCCATACCACACCCTACAAGTGGTCACACCCGAGTGACCCACTGCCCGTTTCTGTCACAGGTGAGGAAACCCCATGCCTGTCCCATGTCTTATGATCCCAGAGCCATAGCTGAGGAACTTCCTGGTGATGATGGAGAGAAGCATGGACAGGCTCAGAGAGAAGACCAAGCCTTGGTGTGAGGGCGGGATCAGGAGGCAGGATGGCAGACAGGGCACCTCCAAACTCTCCTGCATGGCCTGCGTGGTGGTCCTCGGTCAGGGCTCCAGGCAGCCAGGCAGATGGAGAAACTGGTCAGGACAGACCCAGAGGAGGGAGACTGGGCTCAGTTTGGGGAGATCAGAGGTTCCCTCAGCATTTGTTTTGCTTGTCATATGGATAAAAGCCATTTTAATGGGGTGAGATGAAAATTCATTGTGATTTTTCATTTGTATATCTCTGATGATGAGTGATACTGAACACTTTCATAGACATGATGGCCATTTATATGTTTTGTTTGTGGAGAAATGTGTGTTCAAGTTCAATAATGGCCATTTATATGTTTTGTTTGTGGAGAAATGTGTGTTCAAGTTCAATAATGGCCATTTATATGTTTTGTTTGTGGAGAAATATGTGTTCAAGTCTTTTGCTCATTTTTAATTAAATTATTTGTTTTATTGAGTTATGTGAGCTTCTTATATTTCCAGTTATAAATCCCATCTCAGATGCATAGTCTGCAAATATTTGCTCCCATTCTGTGGGTTGTCTCTTCACTTTGTTGGTTGCTTGTTTTGCAGTGCAGAAGCTGCTTAGTTTGATGTAATCCCTGTGGTCCATTTTTTGCTTTGATTACTTGTGTTTCTGAGGTTTTAAACAAAATGCCTTTTCTCAGACAAATGTTCTGAAGCATTTCCCCAATATTTTCTTCTATGTGTTTCATAGGTTTAGGATTTAGACTCATGTATTTAATCCATTTGGATTTGACTTTTGTGAACGGTGAGAGGTAGAGGTGCAGTTTCATTCCCTGCATGCAGATAACCCGTTTTCCCTGCATCGTTTATTGAAAACACTGTCCTTTCCTCATTGTAGGTTCTTGACACTTTTGTCAAAATGCATTGGATTGGCTGGGCATGGTGGCTCACACCTGCAATCCCAGCACTTTCAGAGGCTAAGGTGGGTGGATCACCTGAGACCAGGAGTTCAAGGCCCACCGGGCCAACATAGTAAAACCCTGTCTCCACTAAAAGTACAAAAATTAGCTGAGCATGGTGGTCAGCACCTGTAATACCACTACTCGAGAGTCTGAAGCAAGAGAATTGCTTGAATTCAGGAGACGGAGGTTGCCGTGAGCTGAGATTGCACCTCTACACTCCAGCCTGGGTGACAGAGCAAGATTCCATCTCAAAAAAAAAAAAAAAGCCGTTGAATGTAGACACATAGATTATATCTGTGTTCTTCATTTTACTCCGTTGTTCTATGCACTTTTCTTTATGCCAACGTCATGCTGTTTTGTTTACTACAGCTCTGTAACATATTTTTAAGTCAGGTAATGTGATGTTCCTGTTTTCCCTCTATATCTTAAAGTCTCGAGACAATGGGTAACACATACAAAAATTATAGAGAAGAGGATCCCAGGACTCCCAGAGCCTAGTGTTGGATAACATAGTGTTGGCCATGAACCAACCTCAAAGATTTCCATTGAGTAGAGGACAGGCACCCTCATTTCCTCACCTCTCTCCTGTCTCTATTCTAGGAAACCCTTCACGTACTTGGCCTTCACCCACTGAACCAAGCTCCAAAACTGGTGAGTAAAGAATCCCTCTTATCTCTGCTTTTGGAAACCTGGAGAGGTGGAAGCCTTGGATTCAAGCCTTGGCTCAACACCTCCCAGCTCTGATTGTGGGCCTGTCTTCCACCATCTCTCTGAACTCCAGACACTCTAACAGCAAAAGGGATCTTGACCCAGCACAGGGCTCCATGAAGTCTCTTAATCTCTAATTTTCTGTAGCTGAGACCTCCTACAAGCTGAAAGAATGATTGCAAATCTGACATCCTTCTCAGGAAAAATGCAGTGTTCTCCCTGCATTCCTAACTGGAGGATAAATTCCTGGGGGCTTGAAAGAGGGAAGGGAAGGGAACATCTAATGAGGGTGATGTGTTTCAGAGAAGTTCCACTTGCCAAGGAATGAGCTCCTGTTGGTCATGAGGCAACCCTGGCTGACTCAGCAGAGCAAGAGCCTTGAGTAACAGAGAACAGAGCTCATGCACGCACACTTCGACTCACTGACTCATTCAGCCATAGCTCCATGCTGAGGCTGGGCAGTTAGAATCCTTTCCTGTTGTTGCCATAACAAATTTCCACAAAATTGGTGGATGAAAACAAAACGGCTTTTTAATTATCTTACAGTGCTGTAGCTCAAAGGATGAAATGCACCTCACTGGGCTAAAATCAAGGTGACAGCAAGGCTGCCTTCCCTCCAAAGGTTCCAGGCGAGAATCTGCTCTTCACATGTCCCAGTTTCTAGAGGCTCCCACGGTCCTTGGCTCCTGGTCCCCTTCCTCCTTCCTCAAAACCCACAAAGACTGGTCACGACTCACATGGCATCACTCAGACCCTTCTTCCTTGTCCACGCCTCTTTCTCTGAATGTTCCTCTGCTTTCTTCCTCATCTCTTAAGGACTTTGGGATTATATTGCATTCACCAAGATAATCCATTATCATCTCTGTAATATCATCCAGGATACCCTCCTTTTCAGTTCAGCTGATTAGCAACCATAATTCCATCTGCAATCTTCATTCCTCTTTTCCACGTAAAATCACATATTCACAAGGTATGAAGGCTAGGACAGGCACATTTTTGGGGTGGGCTGGATTCTCCTGCCTTCCACAAATAGTAAACAGGATGCATTTGGCCTGTGCTCTTGGGACACTGACGTTGCAGATGGGTAAACGAGAGGAAAGAAAATGAATGCACAAGTGGACCTATAAATAGCTGATCTAATGGGAAATATCTGTGCATAAAATCTATTTATTTGTTTATTTTTTTTCTTTTTTTTTATTAAGACAGAGTCTCACTCTATCCCCTACACTGGAGTGCAGTGTCACGATCTTGGCTCACTGCAACCTCCGCCTCCTGGGTTCAAGTGATTCTCCTGCCTCAGCCTCTCGAGTAGCTTGGATTACAGGCACCTGCCACCATACCTGGCTAATTCTTTTTGTAGATTTTTGGTAGAGACGATGTCTCACCATGTCGCCCAGTCTATCTCCAACTCCCAATCTAAAGTCATCCGACCGCCTCAGCCTCCCAAAGTGCTGGGATTATAGGCATGAACCACGGCACCCAGTCAGAATTTAAAATAAATAATAGATAATGTTGAGTGTATGATTTCAGGTAACAGAGAAGGTCTCACTAATCACATATTTGTGATGTTAATGAAAAAAATGGAAGACTGGCGGAAGGAGTTTCCACACACAGCTCTCAGCCGTGAAGGCACAAAGGTGAAAACAATCTTATGTGGAAGGAAGCGGCTCTGCCTGAAACGCTGGGAATGAGGTGGGAGAATTACAAGACCACTGGAGAGAGAGAAGAGCACACTGGGCACACAGGAAACTAAGGAGGACAAAGAGTGTGTGTTTTATACTCACAGCCCTTGGATTCACCTCGGGCTCACTAGGAATCCCTACATGATTAATAGTGACTGCCATGAACATAAGGGAGGCCCAGGTGCGTAACTGGAATCTAGGAGACCGTGGAAAAGGCAGTTCCCGCCCCACAGGTGAAATGTGGTGCTGATTTAGACACTGAGTAGATGAAGTGGATGGATACAGGATATGTTTGTGAGGTAGAATCATTTGCAGGGAGGGCTTGCTGGGTTTGATTTTTCCTAGTTGTTTATTCCTTGCTTCATTAATTTCTTTCTGCGATTTATTTCTCCTACATGTAAATCAACACCTGGTAGAGGAGTGATAGAAAGACGAGTCATGGTGCAAATGAAGGGACCTATTACAGCATAATATACAAGGCTGTGAATCGTGGCTCATGCCTCTAACCCAGCATTTTGGGAGGCTGATGTGGATAGATCACTTGAGATCAGGAGTTCGAGACCAGCCTGGCCAACACGCTGAAACCCTGTCTCTACTAAAAATGCAGAAATTAGTCATGCATGGTGGTGCACGCCTGTAATCGCAGCTACTCTGAAGGCTGAACCAGGAGAATGACCTCAATCCCGGAAGCAGAAACAGTGAGCTGAGATCACCCACTGCATTCCAGCCTGAGTGACACAAAGAGACTCCATCTCAAAAAATAAAAATACAAAAATATAATACAACATACATGAATGACAAAGGTACCTCCATTCCAATCACCATTTTTCTAGATCTCTGTAATTACTTCCTTGATCCTTTATCTTATCCATTAGAAAATCAGCCTAAAACCTCTTCCCTATTTGGCTTTCTGTGAACAGGAGATCATAGAGAAAATATAAAAGCCCCCTGAACCCACCAGCACAGGTCCAGGAATAGAGAACGTGTGCTCTGTTCATTGCAAAACACTTTCCCCCTCACACAAATCCCCCACCTCACCCCAGCTTCCAATCACCTGTGGAGATTCAGATAGACCATGAGGAGGTAAACACTAATACTCCTTAGAGTGAGTTCAGATCTTGGAATCAGAGATCAGCACCAGCACTAGCTCTTACCCTCCCTTCGCACTAATTCACCGAAGGACAGGTTGTATTGAAGCAATAGATGGTGGAGGACGTTGTCCTTCCCCCAGACTCTCCGGCAGAACAGCAGCCTTATATGTGTCTCCTGAGATCACAAAGTGTAGCCCGTTTCACACGGGCTTCATCATTATTTCCTGGCTGTTTGACATAAGAGAATTCTACTTCGCTTTTTTTATCTTTATTTCACTTTTGTTTCCTTTTGTTGGAGAATGTTTGTTGCTTGAGTCAAGAATGTTGTGGATGTAGAAACTGTAAAGCACATTCACTGTGTATCAATCCCAGTCCAGTCTTCCCAGAGACGACTCTAAACACCTCCTGTACTGCACCTGGGGCTATGCCAGTTTCTGTTACTCACCATCACTCCAGGGAGACAGAACACACAGAGAATACATGACATAGGCAGGTTCATTACTAACAGATAACCAGCAAGTGACAACAGAAGCCTGCATTTCAGTGTGAGCCAGTCCTTCTAGGAAGAACAGGAAGAGAGCCCAGCCCGTTTGGGCATGTTCCTCCTGCTCTCAGGATGTTGCTGTCTTAGTCCATTTTTGTGGCTCTAAAAGAACACTTGAGCCTGGGTACCTTCTAAAGAAAAGAGATTTGTTTGGCTCACAGTTCTGCACACTGTACTGGAAGCATGGAACCAGCATCTATTTCTTGTGATGGCCTCAGGCTGCTCCCACTCTGGCAGAAGAGAAGGAGGGTCTCCACGTGCAGAGAACACCGAGATCGCACGGCAAGGGAGGGAGGAAGTAGGAGGGGGAGAGATGGAGCTTCCAAGTTCTTGGAGACGGACTCTTGCTCTGTGGCCCAGGCTGGAGTGTGGTGGCGCGATCTCGTCTCACTGCAGGCTCCACCTCCAGGGTTCACGCCATTCTCCTGCCTCAGCCTCCTGAGTAGCTGGGAGCCCACCACCACGCCCGGCTAATTTTTTGAGTTTTTAGTAGAGACGGGGTTTCACCTTGTTAGCCAGGATGGTCTCGATCTCCTGACCTCGTGAACCACCCGCCTCGGCCTCCCAAAATGCTGGGATTACAGGCATGAGCCACCGCGCCCGGCCCCAAGCTCTTTTTAACAACCAGCTCTCCAGGATCTAATACAGGGAGAACTTGCTAACCCCGTCATGTGGGGCACCATTAATCTATTCACAATGGATCTATCCCCATGGCCCAAACGCCTCCCAAGAGGCCCAACCTCCCACACTGGGGGTTAAATTTCAATGTGAGGTTTCAAGGGGTCAAACATCTAAACTAAAGCAGTTGTATGTTCAGCACGTTCCATGGTGACTGTGAGAGCTGTAACTGAGAGAGCAGGAGAAAGCTGGGTCTCCCGCCATCCGGCCGCTTATCCTAAGGAGACATTCCACATGGTTACCTGTCAATCAAGAAAGGAGAGACAATCCATAAGAAGGAACTGCTATGATTAGCTTCCTATTGGAGTCTCTTCTTCCTCCAGGTATCCCCAGACACCTGCATGTTCTGATTGGGACCTCAGTGGTCATGATCCTCTTCACCATCTTCTTCTTTCTCCTGCATCGCTGGTGCTCCAACAAAAAGAGTAAGTCTCACGAAGCAGAGGCCACAGACCTCAGGGTCGTGTGGGAAAGCGGGATGGGAGCACGCAGGTGTGTGTTCCTCACCGGCAGGATGGTCTCTGGCCCAAGGCAGGAGCCACAGAGGCAGGGATTTCTAGAGAGAGCACCAGACACCCTGTCCTTGCCTTCAGCTCACAGACCATTGCCTGATTCTGAACTGTATCCTCTCGTTCCTGCAGCCACTGACATCCAGGAGAAGGTTCCATGACAGGCAGAAAGTGGGAGACAGAATCACTGGGATGGCAGTTGAGAGCCATTCATAGGAAGGGGTCTTGAACTCAGAGAGACAGAATGTCTGAGCCTGGCTGTTGGCAGCTGAGGGACCTCAGGCACCTACGGCCTCCCCCTGTGTGTTGGGCTCTGCTCATGAAATGAGGACCCAGACGTGCCCTCCTAGCTGTTTTGATGACTTTTGTCTCCTACAGATGCTGCTATAATGGACCAAGAGCCTGCGGTGGACAGAACAGTGAACAGGGAGGTAGGTCCTCCTCAGCCCAGCCTCGTGGATCGAATCTTATTCCCTAATAGTCCTAAAGAATGTGAGCCCCTCCCTCACTCAACATTTCCCTCTCTCCAGGACTCTGATGAACAAGACCCTCAGGAGGTGACATACGCACAGTTGGATCACTGCGTTCTCACACAGGGAAAAATCACTCGCCCTTCTCAGAGGCCCAAGAGACCCCCAACAGATACCAGCGTGTACACGGAGCTTCCAAATGCTGAGTCCAGATCGAAAGTTGTCTTCTATCCACGAGCACCACCGTCAGACTTTGAAGGGGTCTTCTAGGGAGAGAGCAGCCCTGTCTCAAAACCGGCTTCACAGCTCCAATGTACCAGCAGCAGGAATCTGAAGGCGCGACTCTGCATCTTAGGACATCGCTCTTCCTCACGCCACGAATCCAAACGTGCCTCTCTCTCGCTTACAAATGTCTGTGGTTCCCACTGCCTGCTGCAGAGAAAACACACTCCTTTACTTCGCCCACAATTCTCCACTTCACTTGACCCCTGCCCACCTCTCCAACCTACTGGCTTACTTCCTAGTCCTACTGGAGGCTGCAGTCACTCTGAGGAGCTCACAATTCCAAACATGCAAGAGGCTCCCTCTTAACACGGCACTTAGACACGTGCTGTTCCATCTTCCTTCATGCTGTTCCACCTCCCCTCAGATTATCTTTCGGCCCTTGGCAGCAGTGAAACTTATAAATTTTTTTATCATTTCAATGTAGCTCTCTCCTCTTCAAATAAACACCTCTGCCCTCATCCTTTAGGTAATGTGACTCTTTATTCGCTGAAAGTTTGTGGTGTTATCATTACTATGTCCATATAGCCCCGTATGTTCTCCACTGGGTTCTCACCCCTGGACTCTGACCTGTTGGAAGCAAAGTGGAGCCTGATTTCTGTCTGGAACTCCAATTTCCATCCAACGATGCAGCGCATAGGAGGTTGCAAGGATCGTGAATCAGATGAACAAATGATATTCTTACTCTCTGCACACCTGGAAAGCTGGCAGAGCCATTCCAAGATGAAACATTTGTAGAGCCATAGGTCTTGTTAGTCTCATCTCCACGGGGACACAGGTCAACACATCATCTTTCATACCATAAATACACAGTCGCTCCTCCGTATCTGTGGGGTTTACAAGTGTTTGTTGAGCCAACTATAAACCAAAAATATTCAGAGAAAAAATCCACAAAATTTCAAAAAGCAAAACTATGTTGAATGGACACAAATGAAATGGTATGTAGGCTGTGTCAGGAATTATAAGTAATCTAGAGATGATTTCATGTATACAGGAGGATGAACATGGGTTATATGCAAACGCTGTACCATTTTATGTAAGAGGCTTGAGCACCTGCAGATTGTGGTATCTGAGCGGAGATCCTGAAACCAATCACTCACGAATAGTGAAGGACGATTGTATCTCACTTTTATTTCTCAATTTTAAATATAAATCATAAAAAATTTACAACAACAAGATAAAAAACAAGAAGTGTTTTATAGTGTGAGACTACGTGTAGATTTATTTTTTTCTATGCATAACCCTTGGGCCCATGTTATCTATTGAGAAGACATTCTATTCCTCCTTAAACCACACGGCAGCCTCTGTCAATTCTAACGGGACTGTGTGTGCACGGATGTATTTTAGACACTGTTTTCCGATAAGGGGCTCTCTGTGTTCACTCTCTTGAGGATGCTGCACATTCCATAGGCTTATACAAACCCTTAAAATTTGGTAGCTGGAGTTCTCTAGTTTCTTATTATAGTCTATTTGCTATGCTTTTCTTATATTTCTTCAGGCAGAGTCTCCCTCTGTCGCCCAGGCTGGACTGCAGTGGCAGAATCTTGGCTCACTGCAACCTCCGCCTCCCAGGTTCAAGCGATTCTCCTGCCTCAGCCTCTTGAGTAACTGGCATTACAGGTGCCCACCACCAGGCATGGCCAATTTTTGTATGTTTAGCAAAGACATGGTTTCTCTAAGTTGGCCAGGGGGTCTCGAACTCCCGACCTCCGTTGATCCACCCACCTCGGCTTCCCAAAGTGCTGGGGGACACTTGATTTTTTATAGCATTATGTTGCTGAATATTTCCATACAATTTAAAATGAGGGAGGTAGAGAGACAGACAGAGAGCGAACCATGCGCTGGGACTCTGGAATCTCAGGTCATGAGACAAATTGTAGATAAAATGACAAAAATCCAGAATTGACATGTTGTGGGTTTTGCTGATGAAGAACAGTTCTAAGATTGTAAATAATTGCATAATCCTTCCCTGGGTATTTAAATCATTTAAACTGGTTCTGCTGTCATACTAGAAATACAAGCATGAAACATCCTAATGGTTTATTCATCACAATTGCTCTGACAACGTTCATAATACCTATTAGACATTTCGCATATTATACACGGAGAAGAGTTTGAAACACAGATAAAAACAACAAAAATACATGAAAAATCTTTCTCGTCAGCAAAGATTTTAGTCACCTCGTGTCCGGGAGGTTGGATCTGAGACGTGTTTTGAGCTGGTCATAGTGAAGGACACAAGGTGTCAGTTCTAGTGAGAACAATTTCCAGGAAGCCATTTTCCACTCTTGAGTGAGCACCCGCTGCACCTCATGCAAGGTAGGAAGAGCCTGCGTACGTCACCCTCCCATGATGTGGTCAGCACGTCAACTGCATGGGCAGGGCGCCAGATAACATCCTGTGCGCTGCTGAGCTGAGCTGGGGCGCGGCCGCCTGTCTGCACCGGCAGCACCATGTCGCTCATGGTCGTCAGCGTGGCGTGTGTTGGTGAGTCCCGGAATGGAATCGACGGAGGAAGCACTGGGGTGGAGATCTGGGCCTGGAGGGGAGATCTGGACCTGGAGGTTGAGTTATGGGCCTGGAGTGGAGATATGATCCTGGAGTGGCGATCTGGGCCTGGAGTGGAGATCTGGGCCTGGGATAGAGATATTGGCCTGGAGTGGAGATTTGGGCCTGGAGTAGAGATATGAACCTGGAATAGAGATAGGATCCTGGAGTAGAGACATGAGCGTGGAGTGGAGATACGCGCCTGCAGTGGAGATACAGGTCTAGAGTGGAGATACGGGCCTGGAGTGGAGATCTGGGCCTGGGCTGGAGATCTGGGCCTGGAGTGGAGATAGGAGCCTGGAGTGGAAATATGTTCCTGGAGTAGAGATATGGGTCTGGAGTGGAGATAGGAGCCTGGAAGGGAGATATGGGTTTGGAGTGGAGATATGGACTTGGAGTGGAGATATGGGCCTGGGGTGGAGATAGGGGCCTGGAGTGGAGATAGGAGCCTGGAGGGGAGATATAAGCCTGGAGGGGAGATATGGGTTTGGAGCTGAAATATGGGCCTGGAGAGGAGATCCGGGCCTGGAGTGGAGATAGGAGCCTGGAGTGGAGATATGGTACTGGAGTAGAGATATGAGACTGGAGTGGAGATATGGGCCTGGAATGGAGACATGGGCCTGGAATTGTGATATGAGCCTGGAGTGGAGATATGGGCCTGGATTGGAGATATGGGCCTGGGGTGGAGATAGGATCCTGCAGTGGAGATATGAGCATGGAGTGGAGATATGAGCCTGGAGTGGAGATAGGAGCCTGGAAAGGAGATATGGGTTTGGTGTGGAGATATGAGCCTGGAGTGGAGATATGAGCCTGGAGGGCATATATGGGTTTGGAGTGGAGATATGGGCCTGGAGTGGAGATATGGGCCTGGCGGGGAGATATGGGTTTGGAGCGGAGATCTGGGTCTGGAGTAGAGATATCAGCATGGAGTGGAGACATGGGCCTGTTGTGTAGATCTAGGCCTGGGGTGCAGATCTGGATCAGGAGTCTGGGTCTCTGCACAGCTGAGATCCCTGCTGCGGGGACAGGTAGGCAGCCAGGGTGAGTTTACCTTCAGCCCAGCAAGGGCCTGGCTGCCCAGACACACAGCCCCGTGGGGGCAGCAGCGGAGGCCCTGGTTTGCCTGCAGATGGATCATCCATCATGATCTTTCTTTCCAGGGTTCTTCTTGGTCCAGAGGGCCTGTCCACACACGGGTGAGTCCTTCCCCAAACCTTAGGGTGTCATCTCCTCACCTAAGAGGATTTTCCTGAACAGGAGGGAAGTCCTGTCAGACAGTCTCTCATAAACTAAGAAGGGAGGACCCTGGGGTGCTCGGCTCACACTTCTGACCTTGTCCTCTCTGGCCTTTCTTACCCTTGGCTGAGTCAAGCTCTGTGAAAACTGGAGTGAGCTTGGGGTGTTCCAAGCTGAGGTGTGCAGGGAGGAAGTGGTGTCAGCGACTGAGGAAGGGAGGGAAGCAGTGCTAGGAACAGCAGGTCCTCTGAAGACAAAGGTGTAACTCACACCCTCCAGTGTTTGCATGGCGGTCAGGGCTGCAGTGTGGCTGCTGTCATTCTACCAGAAGAGGTGGGGAAACCACAGCCATGACCCTGACATTCCAGATCTTCTGATGGGGGTTCAGTTCATGCATTGGCTGATATTCCATTCACAAAGGACATGCCCTCCATGCCGTCTCTCCTTTGTGTTGTTTTATGTGAGTCATCTTGAAGTGTTAAAATCTAGTAAGAGTCCCTTATTCAGCACTTGTTCAAAGTTCTCAGCTGACACTTTTGATGTAAGGGGACGCCATGTCCCTGCTGGATAGGTTCTTCCTGTAGCCCTGGACACCCAGGTGCGGTAGGAGCCTTAGAAACATGGAAAGGGGAAGAATCTTCTGAGCACAGGGAGGGAGGGGCGACTCCACATCCTCCTCTCTAAGGCGGCGCCTCCTTCTCCCTCAGGTGGTCAGGACAAGACCTTCCTGTTTGCCCGGCCCAACGCTGTGGTGCCTCAGGGAGGACACGTGACCCTTCGGTGTTACTATCGTGATGGACTTACCAACTTTACCAACTTCACTCTGTACAAAGACGACAGAAGCCACGTTCCCATCTTCCACAGCAGAATATTCCAGGAGAGCTTCCTCATGGGTCCTGTGACCCCAGCACACGCAGGGACCTACAGATGTCGGGGTTCATACCCGCACTCCCCCACTGAGTGGTCGGCACTCAGCGACCCCCTGGCGATCATGGTCACAGGTCAGAGGGCTCCTGTCTGGGCTTCTCCTTGTCCCACCTCCTGAATCCCAGAGCTTCTGCTGGGGGTGTCCACCAGGGTCCCATCACCCAGGACCTCACTGTCTTTGGGGTAAAGGGGGATTGAATACAGGGAAATGGGTGCTGTGATGGGAAGAATAACTGTTCACAATATGGCTACATTCTAATCCCTGGAGCCTGTGACTCTTTATGCTATAGGGCAGGGGACTGAAGGGGAAGATGGAGTTCTGATTGTTGATGGGTTGACCTTGAGATGGGGAGACGGCCTGGACTGTCCCACTGGGCTCAGTGTAATCACAAGGGACCACACGAGAGGAGGAGGAGAGGGGAGTGGGGATTAGAGCAGCGTCGTGGGAGACTCCACCAGCCACTGTGGGCTTTGAAGGAGGAGGAAGGCCACGAGCCACAATGGCAGGTGGCCTCTACGGGCTGGAGAAGACAAGAGAACCGCTCTGCGGAGTCTCCAGAGGGAACACAGTTCTGTAGACGCCTTGATTTTAGCCCAGGGAGAACTGGATCCAATTTCTGTCTCCAGAAGTGGAAGGGGTCAGTGTGTTCTCTCCTGCCACCATGTTTGTGATAATTTTCTGCAGCAGTAACAGGAAACCAACACAGGAACATGGTCAAGGACAAGTTAGGAAAACAAACAAGGATAGCCGGGCACTGTGGTGGGCACAAGTAAACCAACGACTGGATTCAATCGCTTGAATCCGGGAGGAAGTTGCAGTGAGCCAAGACCACACCACTACACTCCAGCCTGGATGAAAAAGTGACACTCTGTCTCAAAAATCAATTAATTAATCAATTAATTAAAGAAATCAAACAAGGAGAAGGTTGGCAACTCCGAGATCAGGAAGGGCGGGACGCAGATGCCACCACCAGGCTCCATCCACATAGGGAGGGGTCGATGCTCCTCGAACCAGCACCAGGAGCCACCCTGTGGAAGCTGAGGCCATGGAGAAGGCACAGGCGTGACAGGAGATGCTCCCAATCCCCACCAGGAACAGGGAGTGTGGACACTGGTGCCTGCCTTACTGATCAGTTCATACCTCCCGCCAGGGACTCCAGTTTGTCCAAAAGAGATTAAACCAGGCTGCTAAGAGCCTGGACATGCAGCCTGTCATGGTTCCTCTTCCACCCCCACATAGACAGCAGGAAACAGGTTAGTGGGAAACAGATACAGCAGCCTAAGAGATGAGGCTGAGTCCAGTGGGAAGGGCGTCCGAGGCTACTAGAGACAGATGGACAGAGAAGAGGGAGGGACACTGATGGAGGGACCTGCACCAGGGGATAAAAGACAGGGAGACACAGAGAGGAAGGAGAGAGACAGACAGCCGGGAGGGGAACCCTCACTCGTTCCAGGTGCCATGGATATGATGACAAAGGGAGACGCCTTCTAAACTCACAACCTCTCTTTCTAGGAGTCCACAGAAAACCTTCCCTCCTGGCCCTCCCAGGTCCCCTGGTGAAATTAGGAGAGACGGTCACCCTACGATGTTCGTCAGATACCGTGTTTGAGCACTTCTTTCTACACAGTGAGGTGACCTATGAGAAGCCCTTGCACCTTGTTGGAGAGCTCCATGGTGGGGGTTCCCAGGCCAACTATTCCATCAATCCCACGACGTCTGACCTTGCAGGGACCTACAAATGCTACGGTTCTGTCACTCACTCCCCCTATGTGTTGTCAGCTCCCAGTGACCCCCTGGACATCGTGATCACAGGTGAGAGTGTCCGGACATTCTTCTCATTGTCACTGGGACACAGAGTGAATGATCCAGGACTTGGAAGCCCCAGATGGTCATGAGGAAGATGATTGTGGGATTCTTAAGGAGAGAGACTGACTTGGTGAGGTCTGTACCAACAGAGACAGAGAAACAGGAGACACAAGTACAGACCAGGTGTCATAACAGAAGACAGACACAGGGGCCATACAGGGAGGTAGAAAAGAGAGAAAGAGTTAAAGGGGACACCCAGACAGACAGACATGTCCCACAGGCGTCCTTTCATGCTGACTTTGCTCAGAGACTTGGCACAGGTTAGAAATTTCATTTCTGTTTTACCTCCACAAAGTGTTTCTACCAGGAGAACCCAAGGACACCCATATTTCTGTCCTGAGTCAGCCCCTGTGGCCTCAGGCCTTGTGGCACATACAGATGCCGTGTTGATTCTGACACCTCTGCCTTCCGTGTAGTGGAGAGTCATCGTCCCAGGATATCGTGGCCCCAGAACACCAACCCCTGTATGCTGTGTGTACTTGGGGTCCCCAGACTGGATTCTGAGGCTCATATTCCACATAACCCCACATATGATAGGACTCCTGAGAGACACAGAGAGAAATCAGGAACATCAAAAAGCAAAGACATAAACACACAGAGAATGAGCCAGAGGAAGGAGATTGAGAGACTCACAGACACGTAAAGAGACAGAAAAGAGGGTAGAGGAGTGGAGAGAATGATGGAAGGGAGCAGAGAAAAGCTCCAAAATCAGAACCCTGAGGGCGGGGGTCACAAAGACAGAGATAGATAAAGATGTGGGGATGGATTGCAGAGATTCCAAATAGTACTACAGAGACTGAGAGGCAGAGAAAGACAAGGAGATGGAGAAAGACAGATGGTAGATGGATAGATAGATATAGGCAGATGATAAATAGGTAGATGATAGATAATAGATGGCTTATAGATACATAGATGGCGTTTGATAGATAGATGATACATAGAGACGATGATGATTGATAGATAGATAGATAGATAGATAGATAGATAGATAGATAGATAGATAGATAGACAGATAGATAGATAGACAGATAGATAGACACATAGATAGGTACATAGATACGTAGATGATACATAGAGACAGAGAGGCAGACAGAGAGAGAGGGAACAGACAGATGATACATAGATATATATAATAGATGGTGGATAGATAGAGAGACAGACGATTGATAGAGAGATAGATAAATGATACATAGATATAGATTACAGATAGATAATTGATAGATTGACAGGTAGTAGATAGATCAATAGATAGTAGATAGAAATGTGCACAAGGTTATGAAGAAGACAGAAAGTGAGAAACTCAGAATTAAAGAAAAAGGAAGATCAAGTCAACAATCCAAGGAGGGTCAGAGAGAAGAAAACAATACAAAAAGGGAAAACACACCTCGGGCTGGGGAAGTGAGGTCAGAGACCTAGAGAGACAGAGAAAGTGGAAGGAGGAGATAGACATGAAGAGAGACGGGGTGGAGGGTGAGAGACAGAGAGAGCGTTGGGTCATAGAGCAGAGGAGTGAGTTCTCAGCTCAGATGTGAGGGGAGCTGTGACAGGGAAGAACCTCCCTGAAGAAAGTGCCTCTTCTCCTTCCAGGTAAATATGAGAAACCTTCTCTCTCAGCCCAGCCGGGCCCCACGGTTCAAGCAGGAGAGAACGTGACCTTGTCCTGCAGCTCCTGGCGCTCCTTTGACATGTACCATCTATCCAGGGAGGGGGAGACGCATGAACTTAGGCTTCCTGCAGTGCCAAGCGTCAATGGAACATTCCAGGCCGACTTCCCTCTGGGCCCTGCCACCCACGGAGGAACCTACAGATGCTTCGGTTCTTTCCGTACCACACCCTACAAGTGGTCACACCCGAGTGACCCACTGCCCGTTTCTGTCACAGGTGAGGAAACCCCATGCCTGTC